CCCCCTCCTTCCACCACAGCCCCACGGGCTGGCGGGGACCAGGGGGGCACCGGGACACGCCACCCCCTCAAAGGGGAGTGGGGGGACGGGGGCAGCAGGTCGTTTTCCAGCCATCCCAGCTGAATACTCGGGCATCATCCAAATTCCAGCTGGAGAACATGAAATTTGCTATCACTTTAACCCCGAGCGTAACTAACGACCGGGTACGAGAGCTCACGCCACAATACTCTATCAACTCATAAAAACCTCACCATCTCTTGAGGGCTCCACCTACAAAAGCTCTGTAGCTTCTTTGGGTGAAGTCCTACCCCAGGTCTCTCACGAGAAAATGATCTATAACTAAAAACATAAGATGGTTTTGTGGTTAGATTTTTTTTCCCCCAGTGCTTTGTTTGGAAAGGACAAAAACATTTTTTTTTTCTGGGAAGTATGAAGAAATAATTTCATCGTATCACTTAATTTAACCATCGAAAGACCTCTGCTTGCCCATTGCCCCCTAAAATCAAACCTGCGTTTAGGCTGATGGTACTGTCAAAAGCATGTAAAACATGTTTGCTGAATAAAAGCAGAAATAATGACCCAAGTTCGAGGCTCACACTTTTAAAAATCCTGGGCCATAATCAACATTGAAATTCCTAGGAAAGCTCAGCCCTGATAGCAAAGTCAATAAATGAAAGCAGTAATTTTTCAAAACATCACAGGCTGCACCGATGGAAATAAAATGGTTTTTCCTTCTGTTGCCAGAAGATTTTAAAGATTTAAGTCCAGTCTGGATCAAAACCCACTTGGGATTCCCACTCCTGGTGGGAAGGCTCAGCTGAACCGTGGGGCGAGCTGGGGTCCAGACCAGAGGGTGACTCCCACAGCCCACCTGGAGCCGGGACACGAGTCTTCTGTGTGGAATTAGGTCATCGGGGCGTTTGTTGGGAAGGGAGAATTACATCATCGCAAGGTTGCTCGTCCTTAGATAAAAGGGTTGCAGCTGTTTTGCTCAGTAACTACCATCAGTTCCGCACTCGGGGTCACGCCGAGGGTTATTTTAATTAAATGCTGCCTCCATCAGCCCCATGTAACCTCCATGTGTGCCCAACAGGGGCTAAACCCCCGTCCTTGAGGGCTGCCTGGGGGTGGGCTGGGCAGAGCCCCCCACTCCGGGCTCAACCCTCACCTTCCTCCCAGGTGGAGCCCAGGCCAGCTCGGCGAGAGCTCCGCTTATTTAACTCCCCGGTACCCACATTTCCAGCCACGATTTCAGCAAAAGAAGAGCAATGTCACATCAAATAACTCACCCCAGGTGGTGCCAGCACGGATCTGGATCCACGGCCCCGGCACCTCGCAGCATCCCTGGCCGGGGAGGAGGGGATGGATGGACCAGACGGACCAGCGCCTGCTCTTCTGCAGGTTGGATGAATATTGGTTAAGGAGAAGAGCTAAGAAGTCATCCCCCACGCTCCTGGCAGCCCTCTGCCGTGCCCAAGGACTACTCACCGCAACAAATGAAAAGCCCTGTTTAAAATAACTAAATAAGGCACTTAAAGGGGTTTTAAAAATTGATAACTAAACGTACTACTGTACGGGATCGATCTTGATTACTGCCCAGGTGGAATTTTTGTCTTCTGGCTTTTTTCAAGGAAGAAAACCCAACGCCCCAACCCGGCCATTAATGAGAAACGTTAAAGGCTTGTTAACAGCATCCTTTCATCAGCCCAAGGCGCTGCCAGCGCCCCGCGCTCACGTCAATTTTCACCTTGTGGTCCAGCTACCGCATCCCGCCCCATCGGCCGCCGCTGATGGAGCCCAGACCCATCGCCCGCCGCTGCTGCCGGCTCCGGGGAGGCTCCTCCAGCCCCCAGCCCCACTTTCGGCTGCCACCGGCCCGTTATTCACACTGCCCGGGGGCTGGTCTGGATCAGGCTCAGGGGGGGAAGTTGCTCCCCATCACCGCATCCCCCCACCCCGGACTGGGAAGGAGCCACGTGGAGGTGGCTGCCCTCCCTCAGCCGTCAGTCCACAGGGATGGGGCCGAGGGTGCCCGCTCCTCACTCCCCCTGTAATAATAATTTGAGGAGGAAAATGGGTTTTGAACACTGGGAAAAAAAAAAAATTAAAAAAAAATTTAAAAAATCAGATTTGCTCCTCGCTAAAAACGGAGCACAACAAAAATAGCGATATTACAAACCAACCCTCTGGAAATCCCAGATTTAAGGGTGGGGAGATCAAGGGTTTTGCTCGGATAGATCTTCTGGAGAAAAAAAAGAAAGAGAAAAACTAAAAAAAAATACTTCTTTTTCAAGGCACAATTTAAGCGTATTTATTTGTTGCTCATCCCCTGCGCGTTGCTGTTTGAAACAAAAATAGCAGCGCGTCCTCCGACAAGCTGTGTGTGCACATCAACACAACTGAAATGTCCCCTCTGCCGTAACGGCCGGCGAGGGCACCCTCAGGAATATTTTCCATTGTTTTTCCAGCCGCGCGGGGCGGAGGGTGCAGCCACCCCACCGGGGCAGGGACAGACACGGCTCCATCCCACCTCGGTGAGAACAGAAAAGGAATTACAATTAAATCTGTAAATGCAATTCTTGGAGGATTTTTTTGCATTCCTGTAAGATTCTTACCGAGAAATTACTCTTGAAATAGTACATAAATCTTACAGGGCTCCCCTTGGATTACTCTGCTTTAAGTTTTTAAGCAATCTTTCCATAGGTTTACTCTTTCATTGCGCTCCCTTTAAGGAAGCAGAGATTCAGCACCACCTTTCACAGCAAATAAACCTTTTAATACCGAGTGTTCCTCTTTGGCCTGGGCGCAATACATACCACAAATATTCTAATTTTAAAATCGGGTAAAACACTGGGAAAAATGATGAAATGTAATAATCTGGGATATTTCTAGAGGACGTAACGATGCACGATGTTAACAGAAAGCACGGTTTGAAGTGACTGCTCCTTGTCTAGAAGTTAAGATCACTTGGAAATGGCAGTGCCGTCCCACCAACTGCTACAGCATGGACCAAACCCCCACGAAACGCTGCCTGGGGCCTGAGAACTGCTGAGAAAAAGCAAAGGGGGACTTTCCTGGGCCGCATCTTTCTCGCCCCGATCAGATGACCAATCCCTCCAGTTCCCAGCGAAGGGATCGCCCGAGAGAAGGAAATTTGGGGGCACGTCTACAAACGTCCCCAACCAAGACAATGAGTGGGTTTTGTGTGTAAGATGCCTCCCGTATGAGCTCATTACGCTGCAGCCCCTGAAAGCGATCTGCGCCCACCCCCGCGCCCGGGGGCCCTTTCCCATTTGCCATTGATACATGGGCTGTAATCTGCATTTTCTCATCCCGGCGTAAAACAGTGCAACCAGTGTCGCTGCCATTCCGCCCTCGATCTGGCGCAGGAAACACAACGCAGCCCTCCCAAAATATTTCTGTTGGCCTCAGCCCGGCGGCAGGAGAGAAAAATAAAGGGAGGGGGGCGGGAGGGAGAATGACCCGCTGCAAAATTCAGCTTCTTCCCTGGTCAAGGGCATCTATTTCATTATAAATGTAGTTCCGCCAAAACAAATATTATTTTTGAATCTTTCATTATCTTGGTCTCTGGCAATGGGGGAAGCAGCATGTGTGGGTATTAGCCGCTGCCCAGCCAGCTGTCGAGCCTGGCTGCGCCGGGGCTCAATGTCAGACCTTCAAAGCGCTGCGAGGCCGAGCCGGAGGAAACCCGATAGCTCAGAGGAACCCAATTCCAGCCAAAAACGCTCCGAGCTGTCTTCTGCCAGCGGGTTGGGCTTGCTTTTCTCCCCCCCTTCGTTTTTTCCACACTATAGAGACAGATACTTGGATGCCCCTGTTTTAATGCATCACCCTCAGCGCGGCGTTCCCCCCGGCGGGCAGGGGATGGGACCCCGGGGGCTGAGAGGAACGAACCCAGCCCGAGCCCTCTGGTTTCTGGGCGCTATTTCATTCTCTACGTATTTTTTAAGACGATTTTTGTTAATTGCTGCTGATGCGAAAAGCGGGTCCTGGCAACGGAGGAGCCCCTTCCCCTGCGCCGGGGCGCCCTCTGTCGGGCAGCGCGGGCACCGCTGCCTCCCCCTGCCTGCTCCTGCCTGTCCCTGCCTGCTCCTGCCTCCCCTGCCTGTCCCTGACTGCTCCTGCCTCCTTCTGCCTGTTCCTGCCTTCCCTGACTGTCCCTGCCTCCTCTTGCCTGCTCCTGCCTCCCCCTGCCTGCTCCTGCCTGTCCCTGTCCCTGCCTGCCTCCCCTGCCTGTCCCTGACTGCTCCTGCCTCCTTCTGCCTGTTCCTGCCTTCCCTGACTGTCCCTGCCTCCTCTTGCCTGCTCCTGCCTCCCCCTGCCTGTTCCTGCCTCCTCTGCCTGTCCCTGCCTGCTCCTGCCTGTCCCTGTCCCTGCCTCCCCTGCCTGTCCCTGCCTGCTCCTGCCTCCCTCTGCCTGTCCCTGACTCCTCTTGCCTCCCCTGCCTGTTCCTGCCTCCCCCTGCCTGTCCCTGACTGCCCCATCCCTGCCTGTCCCTACTCATCCAGTGCTCTCTGCTCCCGCCACAAAAACTCAGAGCCAGGGCAGCATTTTGTGGAAAAGCAGGAATTTGCCTCAAAAGGGTGACGCCGCCCAGAACCCCGCGCCAAGCACGGCTCTACCTGCAGAAATAGAGAGACAGCCCTGGAAAAGCCGACGCCTGCAGAAAAAAACCAGCACGGGATGCAAATGTGAGAGAGGCTAAAGTTTACGTTTGCTGCCCTGTTCTTTTGTTGGTGGCATGTATTATAAAAAAAGAAAAAATAAAATACACCCAAACTGTACATATTATAAGGCTATATTTTTATCTCGGGGTTCTGGTGACACGTACAAACCACTTGAGCTTTGCTTTCGTGGTTTATATTGCCACCAGAAACCCTTGATAAAAATACAGCTTTATATTGTACAGTTGGGTATAGTTTATTTTCTCCATATATCATATACTGTGTTTTATTTATAAACATACACAAAGACACTTGTACATGCAAAGCAGTTTTTTTATTGAAGTAATTCTGAGGTATCAATAATGCTATATTAACTAACGCATCGGAACGCAATAATTTCTCCGTTAGCAATGGCCTTTCTAAAGAGACATCTATGAAAATATGATAAAACACATAAAAAAAAAAAAATCAGTATTTCCACGTTAGAATTTACGATTCCCATACTGAAAATTTCAGCTTCTGGTGGCTCATACTTGCAGAGAACCCTGCTTAAACCACCTCAAAACTGGGCTTTAATACCTCTTGAAGACCCAAATCCTTCCTGCAGAGAGGCTGCGGGAAATAAAGCTTCACCCAACAGAGAAATGCAAAAAATCTAAAGGAAAAGGAAAAATTCAAACGCCGAAAGAAAACGTGCTGCTGCTGAAGAAGCAACTATGATGGGTTGTTCGATATTTTGCCCAAGTTGTGCTAATCAAACTTACTTAAAATAAACTTTTCATACCATCTGCCAGCAGCGTCCCTTCCGCTGCTTCTTGCACCATTCACAGGGGCAAAAATATTATTCCCATCTTTTGGAATTCTAACAGAAAAAAGCCAGGAACAAGCAGCTCAGCAGCCGTTTGCTTTTCCACCCATCCTGGGGGGCTCCGTTCCCTCCCATCGGGGTAAATAAATCCCAGTTCCTGGCTGGGGGGGACGAGGGAGGGCAGGGACCAGCCGGGGCTGGCGGCTTCCTCAGGGGGGAGGCTCACACCTCGGATTCACCACGTCCCTCCCACTCCCTTATCCCAGCTTTAATGGACATTAAAAATAGAACAAAACAGGGCTGGAGATGGGAACAAAAATCCGTGCACAACAAGGCCTGGGCGGCTGTAGTCATTCTGCTGTAAAATGTAAAAACAAGAAAGGGCAGAGGAGCTGCATCCCCCAGGACGCATCCCGCCGTTTTAATATAGTGGTGCCACCGCGCATTTCGCTCCGGATGTTGCATTATATTTATATGTCACTCAAATATTTACCATTTTTCCTGGGTTCTGCCGGGTGCTGGGAGAGCGGGGCCTACGTGGGGGCTGCTCGGCAGCCGGGGCTGGGCCCCATCACAACGCCCACTTCTCTCTCTGCAGCTTCTCGTGCGACAAAAGCCACTCTTTCATGGGGCCTCCTCCTCCGTAGTGGCCGCTCTGCCCGCTGCTGAGGATCACCCTGTGGCACGGGATGATAATGGGGATCTGCAGAAAAAAACACAACAAAAAAAGAAGGGTGAGGGGAAGGGGAACCCATAAACCCACCGCTGAACCAGGCCATTAGACCAGGAGGGACGGGGATGGAAGGAGACACGTTGAGGACCATCCCGGTGGAGCATTGGCCATGGCCAAGGACAGGGCAGTGGCAGCAATGGGGCCATCACCAGCTGGAACGGCACCGAGCACTGGGAAGACCAACCCAGTTCTCAGGAAAAAAATAAGCCTGGACAAAAAATTAAATACATAAAAAATGATATGAGGTCTTAAAAGCGTCAGACACGTGGATGGAAGGAGACACGTTGAGGACCATCCCGGTGGAGCATTGGCCATGGCCAAGGACAGGGCAGTGGCAGCAATGGGGCCATCACCAGCTGGAACGGCACCGAGCACTGGGAAGACCAACCCAGTTCTCAGGAAAAAAATTAGTCTGGACAGAAAATTAAATACATAAAAAATGATGTGAGGTCTTAAAAGCGTCACACACGTAGGACTTGGGGGTGTTGGTGGATGAGAAGCTCAACAGGACCTGGAAATGTGTTCTCACATGGTGAGAAGTGTCCCTGCCCAGGGCAGGGGGTGGCACTGGGGGGGCTTTAAGGTTCCTCCCCAACTCGATTAAATACATAAAAAATGATGTGAGGTCTTAAAAGCGTCACACACGTAGGACTTGGGGGTGTTGGTGGATGAGAAGCTCAACAGGACCTGGAAATGTGTTCTCACATGGTGAGAAGTGTCCCTGCCCAGGGCAGGGGGTGGCACTGGGGGGGCTTTAAGGCCCCTTCCCAACCCAAACCATTCTATGATTCTATATATAAAATGCCATATACACCCCCCCGCTATACAAAATCTCTGCAAGAAGCAGATGTTCCCCCCCAGCTCCAGCAGCCCAGGGTGGGTGACGAAGCCCCACAGAGCCCACAGGCACAGGAGCTGTGGGACCACACCATTAATCACCATCCTGGGATGAGGAGAGGCCACATTTCTGGAAAAATAAAACAGAAGTGTTGGTTGGAGGGAGCTTCCCCAGCCCTGCTCCCCCAGCACATCCCTCCCCTCCCCTCAGCACCTCCACGGGCGCCGCGCAGAAATCCTATAGCAGAACAAGGCACTATTTATTATTTAACAGCGAGTCAATCCAAAATGGGTTGTGAATTTTTAAAACCTACAACAGGAGCGATTTAATTCACACCTAAACCAATTTGAGAACTTTTTTTTTTTTTACTTTTTTTCTTTTTTTTTCCCCCTCCTCGTGCCTTTCTACTTTGCATCATTTACAGCCCAAATGTCACGGATTCTGGAAAATCAATGCAAGAAGTTACATAATAGACTGATAATGCAGACAAGTACATAAATGCGGGGTTTTTTTTTTTTTTTTTTTCTCTTATTTTTTATTACAGGTGATTATCATAGTTGAAGTACACACCATAAAAAATGCAATACATCATCTCTAATCACGCCATACGCGTTTCCGTAACTGCACGATAACTCGATGGCAACGATAGAGCTGCGAAAACACTGACTCGCTAAAAAGTGCCGTTTTCACAGATTTGGATGTTTTAAAGCCAGAGAGCATAATTTATTTATATACAGACACACAGACAAATTAGGTACTTTACACTGACTTATTTCAATCCCATTCAATAGTTATTTCAGTACGGTTCACACCGTGCTCGTATCTGAGCCGGGGACACCGAGACCCCAAAGTGGCTGCACAGCTACTGCCAGACCTTTGTCAATTGGGGTGTTTTTTGGGGGAGATTCCTTTGCTTTCGTTAGGTAATTTCCATGGCTGACATTTAAAATCTCAGTCTCAGCCCACAGGCTATCGCATTAACCGGGAATACACATAGGTGCTTATTGTTAATCAAGGTTTAATAAAAAATGCTTATAAGAGCTGCTTTATTTGGAGCTGGCAAAGCCACCAGTGAATTCTGCATCCGTGACAGCTCTGGTGAGCACCAATAAAGCCTTTACTCCAGACTGTGCTGTCCCATGCTCGGTTTATGACTTCTCCAAAGAAGTTGAGGTTTTTGCAAGTGTTTTTCTGCTTTGGGATTTCTCCATCTTTCCAATCCATGTGTGCAAGTTGCTGCCAGCGAATTTTCTGGGGTGACAGCACCATAACAAACCGTAATGATACATTATAAACAAATCTCCGAGCTTAATTTGCAATTCTTTAAAAAAATAAATAGAGTAAATTAGGGTATTTTGATGGTAAGGCTATAAATCTCACTACGGACAGGGGCCAAAAGCTCCTTCTGGTAAGTTGGTGGCTTCTCCTGCTACATTGTGCGAGAAGATGGAAGATCTGCCCAAATGGGGGGAAAAAATGGACTTTATTTTCAGGTGGTCAGAGCTGGCACGTCACACGGGGTGTCGGATGATCCTGGGTTGGTGCAGGACACCTTCACAAACTCAGGAACGCGTGGCTGAGCGTTACCATCAAGCAAGAGGATGAGGGTTTGCAATAATGCAGCTTTTTCCACACCCAGAATCAAGAATTTCATCCCCAGTTTGCCCCAACACGGGCAAGTGCCCGCGCATCACCCTCCACAGCCTCGGATGTAAAAGAAAGTGTGGTACAGAAGGCTGTAATTTAAAAATATTGAATATTGCTTCAGTTTGGCTTAATTGTGGTGACAACTTTCAGACTACTAAAATAATTAAACCTGCTAAAATTTATTAGGGCCCTGAGGACATTTTAGAGGGAGTACTACCCTAGTCTGGAGCTTTAATGCCTCGGCTACATTTAATGTAATTTTTATCAATAACCAAGCAGCTCATAATATTATAGCTCCACTGAAATCTTCATGCTGTGAAATCTAATTCGTCTAACGCGCGAATCCATCACTTACACAGACCCTACCTCAAAGGCTATAAAACTTCCAAACCCATAGATTTGTCTCCAACAACAACAACAACAACAACAAAAACCAACATGAAGGGGCCCCTCGGATCGATACCGGAGTCCCTCTGATTCGGGCACCAGCTGAATATTTTCTCCAACTTCGCTTTTGTTCTTCTGGGTAGAGGCCCACAAGGGAAAGAGCTTGTTTTCACTCGCAGCCTCATCAATACCTAAATCCTGGTGAACAAGTGACACTGAGAAGCTGTAATCAATAGCTCCCTGTGCGTTTTTTCTTCTGGTCAAATGGTTCAGCGCTACTGACAGCCCTGACACTCGGAACATGATGCTAAATCTTTATCAACAGCCATCTGGGTGACTGGCAGAACAAGGCTCGGGCGGTCATTAACGCTCGTGGCAATCTGTGAATAAACTAACTCCTCGAGAAGGCGTTTGTTTAGGGAAAAAAAAAAAAAAGAAAGAAAGAAAGAAAAAAAAAGGTGGGGAAAAAAAACACCCCTCCCTGCACGAGGCATCGATCGCCTTTGAACTGCATTTAGCAAATTCCGTGGGAGGACGGAACGGAGGCGCTCGTTAGGAGTTTCTCATTGGAGGTGAGGGAAACCTCCCATCCCCAACCCACCGTATGGACGGGCTGGGGACCACCAGGAACTGCCAAACCATCAAAAACCACACCAACCAGGATGGAAACAGCTGAAATATCCAGTTACAACACACAATGAGAAGCACACTTAGAAAATAAATCACCTTTTGGTTTGCTTGTGTCCTGTGGGTTTTTCTCCCCCTCTTCCCTGACAGAACCAATGTCTCTCAGGACAGATCCTGGGCTATTGCTGGCCACCCCAGGAACTAAGGCACAAATAATTTTAGGTGTCCCCAACATTTCAAATTCCTACTTCTCCTAAATGCCTGATTATTTCTTCCTATCTCCGATGGTTAAAACATTTTTGCTGAATATCCTTGACTTAGGATGGATGGAGTGTCCAGTTGTACCCTTGGCTGGGCTTTAGCCTAAACAGTAACACAACTGGGGAGAATATCATAGAATCATAGAACCGACCCTTGGCTGGGCTTTAGCCTAAACAGTAATGCAACTGGAGAGAATATCACAGAATGGTTTGGGTTGGAAGGGACCTTAAAGCCCCCCCAGTGCCACCCCCTGCCCTGGGCAGGGACACCTCCCACCAGACCAGGTTGCTCCAAGCCCCCTCCAACCTGGCCTTGAACCCCTCCAGGGATGGGGCAGCCACAGCTTCTCTGGGCAACCTGGGCCAGGCTCTCACCACCCTCACACCAAACAAGTTCTTCCCCACATCTCAGCTCCATCTCCCCTCTTTAAATGTCAAATCCTCTCCCCTCCTCCTAGGGCTCCCCTCCCTCATCCAGAGTCTCTCCCCAGGAAAAACAACGACCGCCGTCAACAGAGCGCTGGAGACGTCTTATTTAAGGCACAGAACAGTCATTTAAGATGGCCTTGGACTAATCAGCCTAACACTCGCCATTTCCCATGAGTCTCTGTGATTTCTTTTTGATCCTCCTATAGTAGTCTAATGAGATTTTTAATTGAACTTTATGGGTTCCCTTTGAGGACCACAGACCTCGCAATCAATCTGCGCCGCGGTAAACTATGTGAAGTTTTCCTCGCGAAAGGTGAGCCGTCCCCGCCACGGCCTTGGCATAAATTGAGGCAAAGACGTCGCATCTTTCAGCTGCTGCTGGCACCTCTTCCACCTTCTCATAAAGTTGAAGGTCACCGCATGAATTATGTGAAGCAGCCCAACTGCAGCGGGGAACCTGTGGAATGTGCGCTTCCAAAACTACAGACCAAGGCCTGATCCTCTAGAAGGGAGAAATCTCCTGGTGTTTTGGGGGAAAAGGCGAGATAGTGAATATTCCCAACACCTTTGAGTAACAAAGCAACGGCAGGCTCGGGCTGATTTCAAATGCTCGTTGTTACTGTTATTACTGTCCTCATTAAATCATGTTTATGATGTAGTCATCATGTTTATAATGTCCTCCTTTAATCACGGGAAGCATCTCAAGGTGCAAACACATCACGGTTTCGCCGTTGTGCCCAGCTTCGCACCAACCCTCAACAGAAGCACCCACTTTTAGTCCACATTCACTACTACATCCACATTCACACACTACAGCATAATATTACAGCATGAGTCCGCAATCACTGCTACGACACACATTCCCCACAACAGCATTCACCACTTTCTGCCTCTCTCCTGCGAACGAAACCAAACCACCCATCTGCTGCTTAACAAAACACCCCATTTCTGCCTCAAGGCTGAGGGGATCGCTCCCCAAACCCAGTGCTCACCTCCCGGGGGGTAACAACCCCTCTCCCCGTGCCCAGACCCCACTGGTGCTGCTGCTTCACGAGCTCCTCAGTTGGATCCTGAGCTCAGTACCTCACCTCAGATAGAGAATCAGAGAATCATAGAATGGTTTGGGTTGGAAGGGACCTCAAAGATCATCGAGTTCCAACCCCCCTGCCATGGGCAGGGACACCTCCCACCAGACCAGGTTGCTCAAGGCCACATCCAGCCTGGCCTTGAACACTTCCAGGGATGGAGCATCCACAGCTTCTCTGGGCAACCTGTTCCAGTGTCTCAGTATCTCAGCCTGTGTTTTATAGGGGCACAAGGTGCAGGGGGACCCTACGGCTCCGTGCAGGCAATACCATGAGACACTCAAATAATCTTTAAGGGGTTTAAGCCTCTAAGCTGAAGGCAGAAGCACACCCTGATATTTGAGGTGTGTACCCGATTTTCCGACGGCAGAGCTCACAGGAGCAGCACAAAGGCACGTCTCCTCACCGCCCTGCATCCCACTCGACAACACAGAGGATTTTAATGCGACGGAACGCTCTCCGATATAATACGGTGTACATTAAGATAAGGCAATACAATGCAAACCTGCAGGAAGCAGTTCTCAAAGAATAACAATCTAGTGTTGTGCAAAAGGATATGTAATTGCTATCGCCTCGGAATGTACCCGGCTCTGCCCTCAGGCTGCAGTGGAGCAGCAGCATCCAAAGTAGCAGTAACAGCAGGTTGTGGTGTGAAAATTCCTGCTTTTTCCCCTGTGAGGAAGGATGAAAATAGTTCTGAAAATATACAGCAAAGCTACTGCAATTTTTTTTTTTTTTTAAACGGGGTCCTATCTTATTATTGCTATTTCCCATCCCGTGCTGCGGCTGCAGTGGTTTCTGTCCCCAGCAGAAAATTTTTAAGCACATTATAGATAATAATGTGTAGCTTTAGGGGAAGAAAGAGCCGTATTAATATAATACCGCCCCAATATTTCACAATAGAAAGCTGATGATAAAAAATAATCAGTACTGTAATGACAGCCCTGCCCGTTCCAAGGCACATTTTCACCACTACACATCTCCTGTAGTTAATCTGTGAGTTCACACGTGTTCTACACGCAAACACACGCCTCGTGCTTTTGTATTTCACTGTCAGCACCTCTTTGCTGCGCTTCTCGCTCTTCCCATATAAATCTTTACCTGGTCCTTCAGGCCTATAAGCCAGAACATGCAGGGTGACTGTGTGTAATAGACAGGTTGATTGTATGAATGAGGAGAAATATAAAGATCATACATAGCACTGCAAAAAAACCCCCACACTTTACTATTTCTATATGTAAAGCCACCTGAAAACAGATTTTCTAACCCACTTTGCAGCTCCAGGTCGCAGTCTCGTCTGTACCTTATGAAAGAAACTACTGAGGGGACCGAGTGGGAACACAACGCAGGAGGTCAAAGATTATGGCAGGTCTAAGGCTGGAGAGAAGGAGGGGGATTCGGGTATGGAAAAGACACGTGTTGCTCAGGGCAAGTGGTAATGAGGGGAAATATGTCGAAGAATCGCCAAAAAGGCCACAGTTATTTATTTTTTTCAAGGCAAGCAGCAAGGGAAGGCAGGCGGTGCCTTGACCGACTCTCCCTTCCCTTGCACAGGGACCCGTCCGGCCCCACATCAACCCCCGTGATTCATAAATACACCTGGAAATCTAAACCTGAACAGCTGAAAGGGAAAGATAATGACCGGGAAGGCAGAAAAAGAGGGCAAACACACTGTTTTTCCCAACCCACAGGCCTCACCTGGAGCGCTGCTCCCTCCAATTGGTTCAAATTCAGGCAACTCACCTGCAGCTAATGGGGAAATGCCATTTACAGCTGCTTTGGAGCACGTGGGGGGAAAAACCATATTGACAATTAAGGGATTTGATTCAAATGTGTACCTACATGAATCTAAAATCCCTCTTCTTCCACGTTTTCAGAAACGTATCCACTCCAGAGAGACAGACTGCTGTTAACACAACCAAAGCTACTCATCCCCTGTTCAAATAGGGTCCGTGTCAGGGCAGGAAAGACTTCCCTCACATGAAAATATATAAGAAAGTTTGCGAACAACAACGTGTAGAGGGTGAAAGAACCATTCTATGGTTCTGTGATGAAATACAAGAAGCGCAATGTTTCTTCCTCAAATCCAACGCCATAAACGGTGGGGAATAAATCACATTAAACTGGGTTGTGCGTTATTGCTGATTAAAAACACTTACTGACCTTATTACTCATGGTAGACCAGTTTTCATAGCAGATAAATTTAATCTAATGACATTTAGCCCGCAAAGCTCTCTAAATCCACCACCACCTTCCACCAACTTGACTTAGAAGTTGAGGTGAACTTACGGGGTTGCTCTTCATGGCTCCCCCCACGGCTCTGGCCGCGCGGCCGTTGCCCGCCAGCTCCGCTAACCGCTTGTAGGAAACGGCCTCCCCGAACTTCACCTCTCTCAGCAGGGTCCACAGCACTTGCCCGGTGAAGGAATCTGCAAAGAAGAAGAAGAAAGCGCTGTTGGTACGGGCAGCTGGGGAAAAAACACCACCCCAAGATGGAAGACTCAAACCCCCCTCCAACGCAAAGCCGGAGCCTCTCAACAGCAGCTTTGCAATTTAAATTTAAACAGCCCCAATGCACTGTCCTGTTATTGTGTCCTATATTACTACATTTAAATACATGATTATTAGAAGGAGCGCTTGAAGTAACCGATCACTATAAAAAAAGGATTTAAGGCTTTGATTTTCCTATATTTTTAATTTGCTTCGAGTACAATTATCCCGTTAACTCGTACAATGTGGTTTTTTTCCCATTAAATTGGCGGAGTACAAATTAGCATAGAGTCAAATTAAAAAGGCGAGGAATAGCCGGCTCTACCTATTTCCGCGCAGCCCCGGCCTCTCCAGCTAATTTCCAACTTCAGCTGGGACGTGTGGCAGAAGAAGCCCTAGAGCCAGCGGGGCCCGTACCATCCCGGCTGACTGGGTTTTACAGCCCAGACCCCCCCGAGCTACGGCCACACGTAAGGACTAGCTGTGACCTTGAGTCTACAGCACATCCTTAATGACACCCGGAAAAAAAAGAAAAAAAAAAGAAAAAAAGAAAAAAAAAGAGAAAGAAACAATGTCTCTCCCCATTATTTTAATTTTAATGCGCCAGCAAATTGCTTCGAAGCGTTCCAATTGCGGAAATAATGAAGAAGCAAAAGGCACTTGGACCAGCTTTCGCCGGCGGCTCAGGGTTTTACCTTCCCAACCCAGGATTGTTTTAGGAAAGGAAACGTGACAGCCCTGCCCGGGCTTCACTTGGGTTGAACACCTCTTGCTCTTCCAAGGCGCTTGGAAAAGCTTTGAAGATGTAACTAGTGAATAACTTACTGCGAGGAGCGAGCTGGTGAAGAAAATGAAAAGGAAAAAAGGAGGGAAAAAATAAAAAGGAAAAGGAAAAGAGACCCCTTCCCCCAGCTGAGAGCTTCAGCCTCCTGCTTTGGCAAAGAAACAAACTGATTAAAAACATTTTCTTTCTTTAGTTGTCAAAAAAAGACATTGATTACGTTACATAGGAACAGAGCGAAATGTGATTTTGTTCTTAAAGGAAACCCATACACCATTATGTGTGTGTTAAATAATAAAAATCACTTCTTAACTGAAGGGAATGATAATCACTTCATTGAAAAAATCTGTTTAGTCTTTATTATAACATTAAGCAAATTAAACATCAGCATAATCCAGGTGATACGAGAAAAGGGTCATCAAAGAAATTAACTTTGTTGTTCATTAATTTACATGGATTAGTAGAGGGCAAAGAGATAGCAAATCTGCTCTAGTTTTTTATGATATAATTTCAAACTGTACACCATTTGTGGCAGTAGGGTGACTTTGGGGTTAATCAGACTGATTTGTCCTTTTAATTGCTTTCTATTCAAAGAAAATTCATTAGATAATGTTCTCTTCAAAATTCATGAATCAATTTAACTGAAGAAACCACATTAACAGCTTTGGGTTCATTAGCACAAGCAGTTGTGTTACTCGCTGATTGCTGGGAGGGTTTCCTTAGGCAAACAGATTTTGTTTACTGTGATTCCTTCAGAAAGGTTTATTCCAAATCAAATTGTTACTTATTATTTTTTTAACCTCCTTTTTAAGCCGGCAAGAGGAGTGTTAACCTCGCCCGCAGAGGGGTCTCGGGGAATTGCTGCCTGATGTCATCTTCTAAATCAATGACACACGGTGACTGCGCGTCACCAGGGCCCCGAGCCCAAAGAAATCCCCTTTTTTGGCCATAATTTTTGGCAGGACGTGACTTTCTGAAACCTGTTGGCACAGGAGGGGAAGCGGGGGCAGCTCCAGAGCCCCGCATCCCCAGCAATAACACCACCCTGCCCCGTGGTACCCAAATGATTGAGCACCTTTTCACAGGCCGAGAGAGGGACAGAGATTGTGCCCCCGTGACGCGCCGGGGCAGAGATTTCCCTCCTTTAACTGTACATTTTTCACCAGAGAGCACTTACTGTCTTCTGCACCCACACAAACCACTCTCCAAGTTATAGTTCAGAAGAATGAAATATTCAGCCATCACGCACATCATTTTATAAATGTATCTGAAAACTCAATTTCATCCTGTAGGGAGCAAATGCATTAATTAGTTTAAGCAGCTCGAAGAGACAGTGCCAAAGACTGTTATTAAACTGTCTGCAAGTGTGAGTGCCTGTAAGCACAACCTGCCCAAATTAGATGGCTGAACTTTCACCAATCTCCAGCGCGTGCCAACATTTTATGCTGTTAAATATCGTTATAAAGCGCTGTAAAATACACACATAAAAATTAACACACGCGCGCGCGCACAAATTCTCTCATTCCACAGAAACACTTCATCCCTCCCCAGCTGAGGATGCCCACGTCGCTCCAGAGGGGCAGATGCTGGCAGAGTCATGGCTGGACTCAACCACATCATGGGAATGGGAATAGCAGAGGTCTTCTCCTTCCTCTGCTCCCACCTATGCTGTCCATGCTCCCTCCAGGTGACCAGGCTCTAGACCTCCCTCTTGCCAAGGAACACCTTATTATTTCTCACCAATACACCCCTATATAATGGATCATAACGACAAAGCTGTGTTTCTAGAGTGTATTTCTGTGGCACAACTAAAGGAGTGATTCTCCTTGAAAACATGTTGCATTTTTCCCCAATAGAGAAAAACATTCGACAATGTTGCATTTTTCCCCAATAGAGAAAAACAATCGACATTCATTCTACATTTATCTATAGATAAATTAAAGTCAACCGCAGTGAATTTTGACTACAAAACTAGCAACCGTTCAAATAGGTGTCCTAACCAAAGCATTCAAAAATTCAAAAACCCAAACCAAGCCAGCACGCTCCTTCCAACGTACTTAATTTATCTATAGATAAATGTAGAATGAAAGTCAACCGCACTGAATTTTGACTACAAAACTAGCAACCATTCAAATAGGTGTCCAAACCAAAGCATTCAAAAATGCAAAAACCCAACCCAACCCAAGCCAGCATGCTCCTTCCAACGTAGTGTCTTTGGTGAACCCTGAAGTGCCCATTTTTGCCCCAACACAAGCCCTGCACCATCTCTTCTACTATTTTCCAAATTTTTCTGCAGATACAGTTGTGTAAATACCCAATGACACCCCAAACATCAGCTCATGAACACTAGGCAGCCCATATGAAGACCAACAGGGTAGATGAAGAGCGTTGGATGATGTGGCTCAGGTGGTGTCTCATGCTCTCTCATCGTGTCGTGATGTTCCCCTCCCTGAGCAGTGGAGAACCTGGGCTGGGGAGTGCTTTGAAAACGTTGGATGATGTGGCTCAGGTGGTGTCTCATCGTGTCGTGATGCAGTGCAGAACCTGGGCTGGGGAGTGCTTTAAAAATGCTTCTGTGCCTACGTGTTTGCAATATGTAATATAATAAAATAAAAACCCACAACTATAACTTATAAACATACTATACATCTGTATCACTCAAGTGAAAAATGCACCAATATGCTTTCTTTTATTATATATAATGTTCAGGCTGGCTCGCGTTGAGCGGCCGAGCTGCACTGAAACTCAATTAATGGGAGCCGTTTCTGCTCCGTAGTTTAACACAGATTTAAACGCGGCTCCCTCCAGACTGCGGGAGGGCTTGTGGGGCCAAAGTCTATCCTTAGAAGCAAGGAACTCTCCCTGGACCTCATCCAGCAGCATTTCTGCAGGTTAAAGCCCCCAGAAGTCAGTGGATGTTTTTTCACTCCAGCAGTAACTGATATTCTGACCCATTTTTTTGGCGCAGTAGCCTGAAGAGCAGTTTGCTACGGGCTCGCAAGAGCAGAGCGGATTTAAAGCAGATTTTCTTCTCCACCACCAGCTCTACGCTGATTCCTGAGAATCCAACCCATCTCCCTGCACTAAGGTTTCCCTATCACACCTGTATTCTGACCCATTTTTTTGGCGCAGTAGCCCGAATAGCAGTTTGCTACGGGCTCACAAGAGCAGAGCGGATTTAGAGCAGATTTTCTTCTCCGCCACCAGCTCTACGCTGATTCCTGAGAATCCAACCCATCTCCCTGCACTAAGGTTTCCCTATCACACCTGGACTCACAGACCTGGAGATCCTCCTCCTCCTCCCCAGCATTATCTCTCTGCATTTCCATTTTCCGTTGGGCCCAAGGATGCTAAACCAGACCAAAACCAGAAGAGTCTTTATTTAACCGCTGTTACCGACTGCTAACGACCTGCTCAGCAGAGGGGGAGGACACAGGGGCATCTCCCCACATCTCAGCCTCCTCTCAGTCTCTGTGGGTGGAAAATCCCCCAGTTCCCACTTCAACTTTTCTCTCCTGTTTTGATTACCCGAGTTGTGGCACTTGTGAATTATTGACTTAGGAAGTTCAGAGGGACAAAACCCCCTCACTCCGTGTGTGAGTGACCACTGCCACTTGGTGTGATGGGGCCCAGCGCTCTTCATCCCTGCCCAAAGTGAGAACTTGAACCTCTCTCCACCAGGAAGCCAACCAAACAAGGGCAACCTTGGATGAAGAAGACCGCAAAATGCTTAATAAGTAGTTTCTCCAAGAGTTTCTCACCATCCAAACCCCACACAGCAGGAGGTAACGACACCACACACCATCCCCTTCTCCATCCTCATCTCTCCTGCACCGAGACCCAACTCCACCACATTTTCCACGTGCACAAGTATTCCAATCAACACCCAAGACGTGAAAAACCCTCCAGCTTTTCCAAGTTTCAGCCATTAAGAAAATAGGTATCGTGAAGAGTTAAGGCTGTATCTGCTCAACTTAAGGCCCCTGGAAAGCCCAGTCAGCTTTGGCCTTTACTTCACCCTCATGAATAGAAATGCTCTGATGATCTCGGGCAGGTTCTCGTCCCTCATCTCACTGGGACATCTCACAGCATCCACCTCCAGAAACAAGGACTCTGTCTGGGGGCCAAGCCACAGGCTCTCCCCAGGTAGGGCTTGGC